GAGTAATCTCAGTAAAGATGGCTTGAAGTGGTCCAGAGCACGTGCCTTTCAGAACGGACATTTTTCTGCCTCTTGCTTCAAAATCAGCATGGATAACAGCACCTCAAGTGAAGTCTTCTACTCATTTCTGAAACTTGCATTGCTTGTAACACATACACAGGCAGAAAGGAATGAGATGAAGAACTGCAGGACTTGGCTGGAGCAGGCAAAGACGACCTACAAAGATATTTTTCAGAGATGCTGTGACAAAGCTTACCTTCCAGTTGTCTTCTGTTTCCTTCATGAACGCCAACCCTTTCTCCACCTCTGCTTTCATTTCATTTACGTGAGCTACAGTATGAACAGACCACGCATCTGTCCGCTCTACATCCAAAGCCTACGAGTGAAAAAAGGAAAACGTGATGATTCTCTCAAACTGGCAAATAACCATTTATTACTGATGACAGGGAAACAAGAGACTAATTTTACTGGCTGGATGTTAGGTACAACCCTGGCCTGCTCCAACCAGCTACACCTGAAAGACTGACTTGGACAGAAAGGAAGAAAAAGTTTTCTGGTTAATTTCCTGAATTCTACTGCACAGAGGTGAACATGTGCAAAACAGCTTCAGAATGCAGGATTCAATGAAGCTTATCCAACAACATTTCATTCCACAGACATACGTCAGAACTGGCCATGAAAGAGTTGCATGCACAGGCATAATACAGTCTACAACAGTTCCTTGCAAGCAAGTGCTTTTTCTTCAAGACCACAGCCAGAACTGAATACGGAGTAAGTAACTCCTTCTTGCTCCAATTGCCACAGTATCTTAGCCATTTTGTAAGGTTAGTGAGTAGCAGTTTCATCTGCCCCTGATGCAACAGAACCTTGCCAAGACACCCATTAGAGATTAACTCCATCCAAGACCACAAGGCAACAGCAATAATCCTGAAGACTGCAGAAGATCAAACACAACTACTATCGTTATAAAAAGGGTATATGCAGACTAATTTTGATCCCCAGGAACACTGTACACCCAGCTGCTCACTAATCCATGACTACGTGTCTGGAAAAAAGAAAAAAAAAATGACAGAATGAACTGTCAAGAGCAGATTACAATAAATCAATTTAACATTCTTTACTAGAAATTAACAGCCAGCTACACTTAGGGGGATGCAGCAAAAGGCATAGACGAAGGAATCCTACTAAGGGATAGTTATTAACAGTTTCCTATGAAACTGAGCATTTCCGGTAGCTCTTTCCTACTTCTACTAAAAATTGCAATAATGAAGAGTCAGTTTACAGCATTTGTGCAAAACAGCACTCAGAGATAGGGAGCACATGACTAACAACTCTAAAAACATTTCACCATCAAGAACGGGCAGTTTACCTCACGGGCAAGCTTCTCTGCACGATCAAAAAAGTTTGATTCCATGAGTCCAAAAGCATAGTAGCCCTTCACGTAGCTAAGCAAAACAGAAAAGAACACTTCACTCATTCAGAACTAGATTTAAGCAAGGA